TCGGAATTCTTGCTCTCTAACAGTTTTGCGTTTTCTTGGCGAAGACAGTGTTTCGGCAAACGTTTGTTAGCAGTTTTGTTTATCGAAAAAAATTGTAGCTATTCGGATGCTTCGGCGGAAGGTTGAGGTTCCCGGCGTTGTGTATTTGTTTTCTTAAGCTGCCACGAGTGGAATTTCCATGTGGAAAGGGTTGTAGTTTGAAATATCTCAGCTATGTGTTTGATAGTGAATTCTGCAGTTTAACCATTCGTAAGTACGTAAGTAGTTATTCACTCAATCCACTTCATTGTAGATCACAAGTCCGATTACTCGAACAGCAAATTTCAAGATAGTTCAGTTACAGGAACAGGACACAGCCACAGCCTGAAACGTAAGTGAAGATTTGTAAACAGAATTGAAAAAAAAAAATTAGATTTCATTTTGCAAAAGCCTTGGAATAAGTGTTACCTTGCAAAAGTGCTTCTGAAGAGGTTTCATTTGAATGGTCACACCATAGGATTTCATCCACAGACTCAAAGCTATCTTGTACAGCATTTTTAACAGTACCTCAGGAAAGTACTGCTCAGTAGGTTTCATTTGAATGGCCACACCATAGGATTTCATCCAAAGATTCAAAAGTTAGAATCACCTTGCACAGCCTAATAAACAGTACCACAGGGAAGTACTGCTCATTAGGTTCTAATTTGAATGATCTTATTCGAGAATGTTTTGATGGTGCGCTCTAAAAATAGAATGCTCTTCGTCACTGTCTATGCAGCTAGCTACGTTCTTTCTTAATAAATAAAACACAAGAATTGTTTTATGTGGTATATGAAATACCACGTACTACGGCAATTTACAAGATGGTGTTATAAGCAATTTAGGTTTCCGGGAAACTCCCCACCTACCCCTCCCCTAAGCTTACATTTACACTTAGTTCTCACTTAGGGCAAAAAGTTGGCTTAGGGGAGGGGTGGGTGGGCATTTTGTCAGGAACCTAAATTGATGCTTCTTATAAAATGCTCTCTCTTTTGGAAACTTATGGAGATTTGAAAATATTACAAGAAGTAATTTTCTCTCTTTTTGTTGGTTAGTTTGTTCTTTTTTTGTAATTTTGTGAGTTCGAGAATCTTGAAGAAGATACCGTTGGATTGTGATGTTCGATTGTTCTGGTGGGTTAGCAGACTCCGGCTGTCTGCAACCAGATTTTCCTTCGCGGATTTTGTTTATCTAGAAGCCAGGGCTAACTTTTGTTGCAAACATTTGACAAGAATACAGCGATGAACATTTTTATTTCTGAGAACCCTCT